GAATAAAATCACATCGTTTACTAAGGACCTACATTAGTTTTTTATTAAGTAGAAAAATACGTTTCTGTTACACAAGCATTTGGATTTTTTAAAAAGTATCCCCAAACCTCTATGATTTCCTTTTAATCTCTCTCAAACTTCCATTCAATGAAAGTGTCTTGGGTGCCTACTATGCATCTATAAGGTGAAATAAAAAATCAAGAGCTCATTTTAGGGTTCAGTTCTTTTTCTGCACTGGAGATGAGACACAGATCTTTAAAACAGAGCAGGGAACCAGATTTCTTTAATTTTTTTTTTAGTGCTGTAGGTGCTTATAGTACTATCACTCTAGTAGGAGAAGTAAACAAATAGCCCCACTGAAATCCTGATAAATAAATAAATAAACCCAAACAATTCTCTATTATCTTGAGGGGTTTTTGGAGGAAAAGTGATAATTACAGAATTACCACTGGAAGTGTTAAGAAAACACTTCTTTCTGCCAAATAATGCTGATGCTCAAATTACTGCTTTAAGTCTTTTTTTTTATTTTATATTTTGAACCGTTAGGGCTTGTATCTTTAGAAGTTTCTCTGTAAGTAAGTCAAGAGGACTCAAAACCAAGAAAAGCCAAGTGTCTAAAGACTCACAGTTATATACTGAACGATGAGAAAAAAGAGAGGAGTATCAGTGCAAGGCTCCCCTCAGGGTTAGCTGCTTGTGACTCTGCCAGCCAGGTACCGTATTGTATGAAATGTTGTCTTTTGACCCACAGGAAAGAGATGCACATTTGATGGAGAACGAGGGGGCAAACAACATATCTGGAATTGATCTGTTACGCACTTCAGGAGAGAGAGAGATAGAAAGAAGAAAGAATACAAGGTTTCTATTAAATATGAAGAGAGGAAAAAAACAACGAGAAACTCCAGTGAATGCCACAATGACTGTTCAGTGGCAGTGCAAGAATGCATGCTCTGTGCCATGGGATGCCTGTGCGTTAGTGCTGAACGTCACACCTACCATTTTGAACTGAAACTAGGAGAGGAACCCAAACAGTGGCTGAAGATTTAGAGTTAGCAAAACTGACGTGGTCAAGGATATCAATCTAGAAACCTTAACAATTGGACTTATTTTTTAAAACTGAGGTCACTTTAAATGGAAATGAAGTGTCAACAACTGACAACTTAGTCATAACTACATTACTAATATTTTCCCGTAATTCACTTTGATACAGTTGCCATTAATGCCTGTTGTCATTAAATGAAGGGTCTTTAATGAAAGATCTTCCTGGAAATAGCATCAAGTCTGCTTCCCTAAAAATATAGGAACATTTAGAATTTACTGTAAATCCCTAGCAATATATTTCACAGCCAGGTGAGAATGGGTACATAGTTCAATTATCATAACATTATTGGACAACTCTCATATTTCACTTTCTATTTAACTATGGGATCATTGCCTTTCAAATTTGCATATTTTATACAAGGTATGCATATTGTATTTTATACAGTATGTGTTCAAGTTTGCTTCCAGTGAGCAAAGCAAAGAGGCTCTCATGTTCATACTACTTCAGTAGGAACAAAATTAGTGTGGTTTGTATTTTCAGTTCCAGCTTAGTGTGTAGATACAATGCTTGTGTTGACACTGAATCATATATTAGCAGGTACCTGAAGGTAGAAGCCTCTTTTCAGTGTGGACATCTAAAATATCGACTGGCTTACATTTTGTTCAATTGTTTTAACAGCTTATAAAAAGTTTTAGAAAGTGAGAACAGGTAAAAGATAAACCGAGTCCACCATTCGCAGTGGCTAATTCATAACTGTAAGAAGCATGCAGGTTTAATAGTTACCTTAAATGTACTTCTTCACAAGCCTTTGATTTTGGAGGGCACTTTACTAATGCAGGCATCTGCCAGGTCAGTCTGAGAATGGAAATCGTGTTCAGACGAGCTGACATAGCTTAGTAGCACCATGCCATTCAAAACTCCTAAGCTTAAGACTCACTGTACTTTCTGTGACCTTGAAAAGTAGGCAAATTCTCTTAAATGCATTTAGACAGAGTTCCAAAGGAGGAAAAATTGCAGGAATCATTACTACTGGCAAGTCTGACCTTGATGGCATGAGGAAGCCGTGGCAGGGAAAGAAAACTAAAAAATATCCAATGGCACTGGGCTTAAAAAGAGGCTGGACCCACTGCTTCAACTGACTGCTTATGCAACTGTCTGAGCTACCATCTTATCTTTTATAAACATACGCTTCCCTGCCATTATTACTGAATACAATAAAAGACCAGGAGCTGGGCAGATTTTTCTGAATACTATTTAATTGAAGCTATAATGTTTTCTTCACAAGTTCTATGCCTTTGAAAACTGAGAATCTGCAGGGGAATGTTCCTTGCTTTAGAAACAGAGGATGGAATTGCTCTTGCAATGCCTGAACTGAGCTACTCATTTATGAGAATTATTTCAAGTAAATTAAATGCAAAATCTAAAGATATTACTCCGAATATTCAGTTTTCAGTGAAGTCTTTAAATTATCTCACCAACAAAGATTTGCACAGAAGCCAAAGCCTGAAGCCCTTTATTAGGCAAAGCTTTTACTGACTCCAAGGATTTCAGAAACAGGTTGCTAGCAGTTTAATATCAACAATGCCTTTCTAGAAAGAAAGTGCGGGTTGATTTTGGAACACTCTAAGGAGAATGCAAACAGTCAGGGATCACTATTTGCATTTCACTCTCATTACAGTATTCATTCTGCAGCATGAGTGCAGAAAAAGGCCACAGAGTAAGATAAGCAGCGAGAAATGCAGTAGCAGCATTTCCTGTGTCGGAAACCAAGGCTTATGCTGGGCTTTAGACCCATCATACTATATAAATAAACTAGTAATCCCACAAGTGATTTAACTTTGAATTTGGCTCTGCTATGAGCCGGGAGGACTGGACCACAGGACCTCCTACGGCCCCTTCCAACCAGATTATTCTATGATTTTAAGCATGAATTGAACTCTGTAATGCAAGTTTTGGATTTAGAATGCCTGAGAAGATGCATATTCAGCTGATCTAAGCTAGCATAGTCCAGTGATGAAATGGATCAATCAGCAATGACAAACAGCAAAGTAAAACCTGGAGTCCAACATTTGGTAATGGAAGAAATACTGAATATTAGAATCTATTGCAAATTATTAAGACATTGTAAATACAAACATTAGTATGCTATTATTTCTGTGTCCTTTGAGGAACCCTACCTACTGAAATGTATCCCATTATAAAAGCCTACATATACTATCTTATTCTTATTTACTATTTTTCAATAGAGAACGCTCAGCTTTCACCTTTGCTCTTTCTGGAAACCTGCAGCTGTCAGTTGCTTGATTCTGGCACTGTTAGTTATCATGAATAGGGCCTTAGTGCTCATCCAATCTCCAATTTCACTAGTTAATGACATACAACTAGGTGCTACTTCTGTGAGCAAGGCATCAGAATATATTCCTTTTTATACAATTCTTCGGTCCAAACTCCAGATTACTTTAGTGACAGCAATGACGACAGAAGGATAGGAAGTTTCAATCCCCTTCCTTGTCTTTGCAGAAGAAATATACCATTGAAAGCCAAGCTTTAAAATTAATGAGATTCTGACTGCATCAAACATAAGTTTGAAAAACTAGAAAAAATACTTCAACCACTTATCACCTTACTTTCATCTCTATCTGACCACATTAATCTATTTATATATTCACAGAATATTTATATATATTCTATTTATATATTCTTGATTTATGTTTATTGAGTTCTGGATATCTGATCACACCAATACACACTGAGAATGAATTTGTTGCTAGTGCTACAATCTTATTTATTAGATTTGAAGCAAACCTGTTTTCTGTACTTTAAGTCAAACTTCTTCAGTTGAGAAATACATAATAGTACTCATTGCCACTGTTTGCATTATTGTATTACAGAAAGTTTGATAACAATATCCTATTACCAAAGTAGGATGGTAAATTACTGTTAACTCCTTAGGGAAATACCTACTACGAGAGAGATCAAAATCCTACTTCAGTCTGGTCTTTCTGCCTCCTTTGTTTTCCCACATACACTAAACACGAACTGACGTCACCAAACCTTGGGTTTTGATCTGAAAGAAATGTACAGACACATTTGGATTATGTTTCTCACACACAAATTCCTTCTGCTCCTTTGGAAGAGTTATATTTACAGGCCAGGGAATCTAACTGAAAGCACTGCTCTACCAGTTAGTCGGGTGCACGAAGCATTCTATGCATTTGTCATTGGTTTTAGCCATTGCTAATGGGGAGGAATTTGTAATACTGGACCAAAGTTTCTGATCGACTCCTTTGCAAATGCTTGTCATTTGATCAAACTTAAGTGGGTATAGAATTAGATACTAATACCCAGCAGAACAAAGTGACTAAAGCTTCAAAACCCCACTATTTTGTAATCCATTGTCATTATTTTACAGGAAATATTTTCCTATTATAAATGCTTTAACCAGCTAAATGATACCAACCATTAGCAAGCAGTTCAAAACTGTTACAGTTAAGGGACAATTTTTTTACTCTGCTACTCAGTCTTGGCACTGCAATTTATACTCACTCACCAGACTAACAACAAACAAAGAAACAACCTGCTCTGTTAAAAAGGACTCCAACTAACACTGTGTTAATGTTTGCAGCAAAACTCAAAACCACAAGGCCTTCTCTGTGTTTTGGATTTCATTATGAACTCAGTCCATGCTCAGTGAAAGATGTGCTAGAAATCTAAGACCTTTAAAGTAAGCTCAAGATCAATAATGTGCTAACAGAAATATATTTAATGGTTTTACTTCAAAATCACATAAACCCTCTGGTATTGGTTAGTAGCAGACAGAAGACCATTTTGGGAATCCTGAGAAATCATGCATGAAGCCCTCTTCTGGGTCAGATTTTAACCAGATTTAAAATACTTTAATGAATACAGATAGGCTTTGGGATTTTCAAACATTTATTCAAACTTTCAAGGATCTTACCAGCAATAACTTTAATGGCAATGACCATTTAAAAAACATATTCAGTGGCATTTCAGTTGACAGACAAACAGACGAATGATGAGGTATTTAGGCTTACATACCTAGACCTCTCACACTTTTTCTGGGAAATGAGCATGACTGGGTGCCCATCTGAAGTGCCTGTAGACTAACATATGCAAGATGCGGAATAAACAGGAGGAATTTGAGGTGGATGTGTAATTGCGGGGCTACAATCTCATTGGGATCACAGAGATGTGGTGTGATAGCTCATACAACTGGAATGCTACACTGGATAGATACAGGGTCTTTAAGAAGGGCATGTCAGGAGAGCAAGGAGGCATACCTGTCCTGCGTGTGAGACAGCAACAGGAAGGCATGGAGGTCTGCCTTGGGATGGTTAATAAGCCAGCTGAGAGGTTATGGGTCAAGGTTAAAGGGCACACAAACATGGGTGACATGGTTGTGGGTGTCTGCCACAGCCCACCTGATAAGGAAGAAGTAGCAGAGACCTTCTTCAGACACCTGGAAGAAGCCTCATGTTTACATGTTCTGGTCCTCATGGGGGACTTCAACTACCCTGATATCCGCTGGAAGCACTACACAGCAGGGCAAAAGCAATCCAGGTCTGTAAGTTCATTGCTTCTGGAATGCATTGACAACAGCTTCCTAACACCGGTGATGAAGGAGCTGACTAGGGGAGGCATTCTGCTGGACCTGACGCTTACAAACAAGGAAGAACTGGTCAGGGATGTGAATGAAGGCTGGGGACAGCCTTGCCTGCAGCAACCATGCGATGGCAGAGTTCAGGATCCTGTGAGGAAGGAACAAGGAAAAAGGCAAGATGACGAATGTAGACTTGAGGAAAGCAGATTAGTATACTATGAAGAATCCCATGGGATACAGTCCTGGAGAAGAAAGGGATCCAGGAGAGCTCGTTTCAATGATCACAACCTCAAGAATGGTCTATCCCTACATGTAGGAAGTCAAGCAAAGGTAGTAGGAGGCCTGCATCTATCAACAAGGAGTTCCCAACAAAACTCAAACATGAAAGGAAGCGTACAAGAGGTGGAAGCAGGGGCAGGTGACCCAGGACGAATACAGACACACTATTCGAGTTTGCAGGTACAGGGCTAGGAAAGCCAAAGATCACATGGAGTTGAATCTGGCAAGGATCATGAAGGACAACAAGAAAGGGTTCTACAAGTACATCAGCAGCAAAATGAAGACTCTGGAAAACGTGGGCCTGCTGCTGAATGGGGCAGGGGATCTGGTGACAAAGGACATGGAGGAAGTCAAAGTACTCAGTGTCTTCTTCACCTTGAGCTTTGCTGGTAAGACTTGCCTTTAGCAAACCCAGGTCCCTGTGGCCAGTGGAAAAGTCTGCAGCAAGGAAGACTTGCCATAGGTCGAGGAGCATCAGGTTAGTGCACACACATAAATCTGTGAGACTTGATGGGATGCACCCATCCACGAGGGCTGAGCACGCTAGCCAATGTCATTATGAAGACACTCTCAATTGTCTTTGAAAGGTCATGGCAAGCAGGAGAGGTTCTTGAGGACCAGAGCAAATCAAATGTCAGTCCTACCTACAGGAAGAGTGAGAAGGAGGAACTGGGGAAAGACAGGCTGCTCAGCCTCATCCTAATCCCTGGGAAGGTGATGGAGCAGATAATCTTGCCAATCGTTTCCAAACATATGAAGAGTAAGAAGGTGGTTAGGAGTAGTCAGTATGGATTTACAAAGGGAAAGTCATGCTTGGCCAACCAGATAGCCTTCCACAACAGAAAGACTGGCTCAGTGGATGGGGGAGAGCACTGGACGTTGTTTATCTTGACTTTAGTAAGGCTTTTGATGGTCTCCCAATACATTGTTATAGACGAACAGATGAAGTAAGGGCTAGATAAGCGGACACTGAGGTGAACTGAAAATTGTTTAACTACTGGGCTCAAAGGGTTAAGTACCACTTAACTTCATCACTAATGATCTGGCTGATGGGACAGTGTGCACCCTCAGCAAGTTTACAGATTATGCAGAACTGGGAGGAGTGGTTGACCCACCACATGGTCATGCTGCCATTCAGAAAGGCCGCAACAAGCTGGAGAAATGGGCTGACAGGTACCTCATAAAGTTCAACAAAGGGAAATGCAGAGTCCCAAATCTGGAGAAGAATAACCCCATGCACCAATACACGCTTCAGTTAACCAGCTGGAAAGCACCTTTGCAGAACAGGCCCTGACAGTCCTGACAGACTGAACCTGAAAAAGCAATATGCCCTTGCAGAAAGGATGGACAACAGTCTCCAGGGCTGCCTTAGGAGGAGCACTGCCAGCAAGTCAAGAGAGGTGATCTTTACCCCCTATTCAGCAGTGGTGAGACCACAACTGGAGTGCTGGGTCCAGTTCTCAGCTGGGCAGTCCAAAAAAAAAAACAAACCATAGACAAACTGGAGTGGGTTCAGGAAAGCGCCAGTAAGATGATTAAGAGACTGGAGCAGCTGATAAGGAGAGCCTGGGAGAGTTGGCATTGTTTAGCTTCCAAGAAAGATCTTATCAATGTGTACAAATACCTGCTGGGAGGCAGTAATGACCAGAGAGACAGTCTTCTCAGTTCCCCCCTCCCCCCCCAGCGACAGAACAAGATGCAATGGGCACAAATTGAAACACAGCAAATTCCATTTAAATCTATGAAAATCCTTTTTTACTGTGAGGGTGGTCAAACACTGAGACAGGTTACCCAGTTGGCATCTCCATTCTTTGAGATATTCAAAACCTGGCTAGCCATGATCCTGAACAACATGCTCTAGCTGTCCCTGCTTTGAGCACGGGGGTTACACAGTCTCCAGAGGTCCCTTCCAGCCTCAATGATTCTAGGATTAATTTAAAAGTATTTAATATTTTTTTTCATTTAAAAATTAAAAGTATTTAAAATTCTAGGATTAATTTAAAAGTATTTGTAATACACTGAAGGAAACTGAAGGGTCTCCATATATTTAACAGGAATAGCATGAGGTATTAATTAGGAAGTGCAAAACTGGCCCTATAGAATTTGGTAAGGAAATACTAAGAAAGATTTATTCACTGCTTATCAGGAAAACTGAGAAGAAAAATGAGCTAAAACTGTTCAAACTGACACCGGATAGTATGAACTAAAAGAGGAGTGGACGCATTTGCAATTGGCAAAATATTGATTATGACTGAGCATACAGTGATACCAGTTTGTATCTTGCCTAAAGCCACTCAAGAAGTGGAAAAATGAGGTTTCATCCTCAGCTCTCTTGGCAGGAAAAGTTTGTTTTACCAGTTGCTTCCGAAATGTCTAATTTCAAGTCTATGAGAAAAAATTTAGTAAATCATAACACAATATTAAGTACTTCAGACAGTAAGAGACAATTCTGCTGTCATGTTCACCATTTTTTGAACAGCAAAGAATAATACATGAAACAAATAAAAACTGCTAACAGTCACAAAAATATTTTGAAACCCAAGTGACGTGAAACTATTAGGCCAGTAAATTTCAGCAAACACACCAACAAATAAGTGTTCTACAATACTGATACCATTTCATCTCATGATGGTGTTTATCTGAAGTAAAAATCATCCAAAAGATATTTTTGCAAAGTTTTAAAGATAGGAAGCTGATTTAGTAGCCCAGTGTAGTAAGCTGATTGCCCTTAAGCCCTGCTGAAAAGGGACATTTATCAATAAAGCCCTCAAGCACTTCTCTTAAATTTCTTTGCATATAAAAGCTAAATAACCTGAATTTATGTTGAAAGACGAATGATTGAAAATCTCCACCTGATTCCATTTGACCTACAAATTTTAATTCCTAATTAATTATAGATGATCTATGGGACAGAGTTACATAAACAAAGGTTAGACACAATTCTAGAACGAGTTTGGACACAGGATTCTCCTTACTTTAAGTGGATATTTCCTATGCTAATTTTTTTCAGGGATCATAGGTTTACCTTTAAGTAAAGATCAAAAAGACTTACTGGAGCCTTCAGAACTACTTTAAGGAAATCACCTAGGAAAGGAAGATTTCAGATTACCTCTCGACATAAATTTTGCTCTACACTGTATTAGAAAAATGCTGAACTGGAATTACTGTTCTATTGTAATGTATGCACATATTATCTATATTATCCTAATTGAGCTCTTGGTTTTATTATAGTTCCATTTTTATTTTTGCACAATAATTGAAGTCAAACTGATTCGTTAGGGATTGGAGACTGTTATTCAATCAGCTACCCAATCCTTTTATGGATTTTATCAATAGAAATTAAACATTATTCTTTTATTTTTAGTGTTTTACACACAGCAGGATTTCCAGTTGCCTTTCTGCACATTATTAGAATGTTAAATAACTGCTCTGAAGACAGGTTATTTCTATTTTCTGTTAGCTTGTTATTAGCACAAAGGGAACAAGCAAAAATAATTAAGACACACTGACCATTGAACATAAGCAAAAACAGTAGTGAAGAAGTCTGTAACTTTAAAGCTAAAACCTCTAGAAATCACACTGAGTGAGCCTTTCAGCTTTTAAAATAAATTTAAATGTGACCCATGTCTTGATATCAACCTCTGTATCAGGTTTCCTTACTCCTCAAATATGTCAGCATATACTTCTTCACTACTGATTTGGAGCAGGTGATTTCTAGAGCTAACCATTGCTATTTAAATTGTCTCATCAAGCAAATTTTGGTTTTGTTTTGGTTTTTTCTCAGTGGAAAGCTCACCAAACATTCTTTTTCATTTCCCCTTTTCCTTCCCATACAAAAACACTTTTGAATCCTCTTTGTACAATTTGGAAACTATAGGGAAAATACAGAAGTAGGAGCTATGAGACTTTCATAGAGGTGAGGCCATGAAAGAAATGAGGAGCACCTGGCCATTGCTGGCATGGAGAACTACAGTCCATAACCAACCTGTTTTCATAGTTCTGCTTCTATTAGAAAAATCTGAGATTTTTGTTTCTGTTAATTTATCTCTAGAATTAAATTTAATAATCCTTTTTAAACCTAAAAAT